GGGAATATCTGGAGCGATCCAACACTTGGCTGGAATGAAAGACAGCAAGGTATATAAAGATGGATGTGCTAGGAAAGATTTTTGAGGAAAGAAATAAGTCGGCTTCCTTGCTTTTACATCAGTACTTCAGCCAGTTTTCCTTTTTATTTTTTTTTTTAATGTTAAGATTGCCAGTTTGTCTGCCTCTGTAGAACACACTGGCCCTCTGAGCCTTGCTAAAGAAGGTACTGTGGACAAACATCTAATGCAGTAGAGAAACCATTGCACTGCAGCAGAAAGTGATAAGTAGAAGCTGCTAATCAAGCTCATTTACATAAAAAAAGCCAAGCCAACCCCAGAAAAAACCTGCATATGCCCAAATTCTATACAGTATTTTCATTTGCATTTATTTCTGAGCACGACATATTAATTCATGCATAACAATGTGCAATGTGAATTATGAACTTACTATTCCATAAAGTAAAAGATGTCTCTGACATTCCTGCATTTAGGCATTCAAGTGGAAACTTATTATAAAATGGCAGTAAAACTTTAAAAGGTTTAACTCATTGGTTGCCAAAGCAAATAATCTGAAATTGGGATTGCCAGTTTGGTCCACAGGACAGCATTTGGAAAGAAGAGCAGAATTAGCACTGAGTCATGCTATCAAATGCCAGACAACAAGAGCTCTAGGTTGTCTCACCTCCCCTCAAGTAACTTCAGAGAAGGGATGTCTTTTTGGTGTTTTCAATTTTTGTAGTGTTTTTGTGTGTTTGGTTTTGGTTGTGTATTGTGTTTTTTTTTTTCTTTTTTTTTTTTTTTCCCCTCTTCTCCACCTCCCATTTCCAGGAAATGAACTCATGGTTTCTGGCAGAAACGGAAGCCAGAACTGTGACTTGCTTATAAAACTGAGGCTTTCTCTGCAAAACTTGGTTTGCAGAACTTCACAGGCAGGTCCTTGTGTTTAACCAATGACAGACCAGTGCGTATATATAACTGGTGTTTGGTTTTTCAAGGCAGCCTGTGTGGTAGGATGATCTGTGCTTTCTTACAGTTTAGATGGTTTTGCGATGTTATATAAATACTTGTGGGGAAAATCATGAAGGGTGGATCTGGGAATTGGCACTCTTCAGTCTTCTAAAATCAGAGACTGTGATGTTAGGACAGATGGACACAGTTGGGGAAAAATGGTCACCGTTGGTTAGTCACCGGTTTAATGAACAGCAACACAGTGGTCCCCTGCCCACGGCGCAGCAACAGGGAGGCAACAGGAACAATCAGACAGCGGGAGAGTGCAGGAGCAGCACTGATGGGACGCTACCATAGCCGTCCTCCGCTCCATCTGGAGTTGTCTAGTAGCTGATGGTCCACAGTGTTTAAGGGCATCTTAGTTTTGAGTCTCCAACTGTGAGACTGGGCAAGGGAGGAGATCGATGGGTGGCATTAGTATCAACCACTAATGACTGAGAGCTGTGTGGTTAAAGGTGCCTCAAAGTTGATCTGACCCCATTTGTATTTATCTCCTGCTTTATCTCAGCTGAGACTGAGATAAGTGTGTATGTGTCTATTGTAAAATTCAGTTTTACTAATTTGTGTTTGAAATGTGTTCTGCTTTCCTGTTAGGCAAAGCACATAGGCTTTATAGGTACCGAAAATATCCAGTTTTTACAAACATAAAGAATTATGCAGGCACAGGGACTCTTGGGAGCATCCCCCATCTTCCCTAAGTGCTGCCAATTATCTGTTGTTGTGAAGTCATATGCTTCAGGAAATGTTTTCCAAAGCAGTCAGATGCTTTCTACCAAGCAAAATGTATAATTCATCCGTCCTTTTACAGCAAGGTAGAAAATGCAGGTTCTGGGGAGACCTGGAGCATTGTGGCTGCTTTGTTCCCTTATTTCTGATTCCCTCTCGAGGCAGTTACAGTATCTTTTCTTTGTAAGAGATTTAACCTGCCAAGTTCTGTCACAAGGCAAGAAGGGGACGCTTTTGCTTCTTAATGTGTCAAGGCTGACTTAATGATGAGGTGAGCGACCATTTCTTACTAAAACATTACTTCAGCTCATCTCTGGCAAAGTAAAACCTAGAGCAGTTTTGCGCAAGCAACCGGTGTTAATGATTTGTGTTGTAAGGACAGAGCTAGAGGCTCCCAGGTGTCACCAGCTGCCGGCATCAGGCAGCCCTCAGCATCAGCCCCTGTGGTGCCTCATGCCCCCACAAGCCGTTCTGCAGAGCACAGTAGGGCCTCCGAGTGTAAAGTCTTCATTAGAATTGTCAGTGGAGGCTTGCATTTACAGATGGGTAACCCAAGTCAAACCAGGAAAACTTTGGGGAAAATATTTAGGGGAGGCATTACGGGCATACTCGGAGGTCTTTGCGTAGCAGCTGGCAAGAGGGTGGCAACAACACTCTGCTGTACGTACTTCCTCCTCAAATGTATGGTGCGGTGGTCCTTTCTTTACAGTAAGGCGCAGGTACAAATGATCTGTGAAGAAAAAACATTTCTGTGTCCCTAAAAACACAGGACTTGCACACTTCTATCTTTGAGTTACCGTTGCTAGGCGTATGCCTCTGAGCCATGGCTTTTGTTGGACAAGGCCCTTCAGGGCAGGCAGTAAAACTGGGACACATGCTGCCCTGCAGTACCTGGGAACAGCAGGTGAATGTATTGAGTAACTGTCGGGTCAGAGCTGTCCCCAGGGGCAGCTGCCTCGAATCCAGGCCCACACTGGCAGTGTTTAGGTGGAAGGGCAGCATCGGAGCATGTTGCTTCAGAGCCCTGCTTTGGTGTAAAGCTCCTTTATGAGCTGCTTCCCTCTTCTCCTCCTCCTCCCCCATCCTGCTACAGATTTTGATGTGAATGGCCACACTTATGTTGCTGGAAGCCATCAGAAACATCTTTAGAATGATTTACCTGTACAGCAGAGTTTAAATCAAGCAAGACATGTTGTGGTCCATTGTGTTGTGATTTTGACCCATGTGCGTTATTCTGCCCTGTGGCAAAGTAAACTGATATGTGGCACAGGGAGCTGAGGCCTGCAGGCGTGGCTTTACGCTACTGCTTTTGAATCTTTGCCTCTGAGTTCTTGCTGTAGAGGCCTGGCTTAGATATCACAGGTAATCTTCTGCAGTAATTTATTTTTGAGATTCTTTTCAACAGAGAAGGAAAGCCCAGTGAGCAGGGAAGGGGTGTTTATTTGTTTTGGAGGTGGAAAGGGAAAATGATCCATCTCTTCCCCTTCTAAGGGCTTGAAGAGAATTTAGGTCACGTTTCCCGGAGAAGGCCCGTCACTGTAGTTGGGCCCCAGATGTTAGCCAATGTACCTACTATATTCATGTGGTGCTTTACTGTTGCTTGCAGACCATCGTGGCTATTAACAAGGATCCAGAAGCTCCAATTTTCCAAGTGGCAGACTACGGACTGGTGGCAGACTTATTTCAGGTGAGGCCGAACTGGGAAGCGTGCAGGGTAACTGGTTCGGAGGGGTAATGGTAGAGTAGATAATGTAAGTGGTAAAGGTGGCTGCGGGAGGGTGTTCGCTCTGGCTCATTTTGTTAAAGAAAGTGATCTACGATTTCATTATTTTCACATTCCAAATACAATCCTTGCAAGTAGAAGCTGCGGTGTCTGTTGGGGGGCTCTTGCAGCCAGCCTGCCTCTGTTCTAGCTCCCTGAATTTTTGAATTTTTTTCCCATTTTTGAGAAAGAACTGCAGGTAGGTGCTTATGTGTATTGTGAAACTTTGGTAAGTATGAAAGTCCAGAGCAGGCAGGAGTTGGTCCTATTCTTGCTCAGGCTTGCTGCCTCAGCGCCGCCCATGAGGAATTCGGTGCTGTCTGGGGCCACGGGGCCGTGTCAGCCGGTGCCCAGGCATGCACGGCTCGCGTGTGCGAAGAGCCGCCCATTTTCCGGTCCCCATCTGCGAGCGGAGGCAGCTTGTGGCGGAAACCGCGCTAGTGCTTAATGCCACCCCTGAACCAACGCCTGCCAGCTCGGCGGCCAGCACGGGCCCTTTCCTAAGCCCAAGACAAAGTCACAGCCTGAAGAAATGGCATGTAGACAATTTCCTTAATAAATTTTGTACGAATGCATTATTTCCACCTAATGGAAATGCAGCTCTCTTAAATAATTAAGAGGCTTTATTCAGGAGGAGAGAAGCGGGGAGGGCTGTGAGCTGGGGTGACCCACAGCCCCTGGAGTGGTGTGCTGGGCACAAGGGTTGGGAGTGTAACTGGGGGGTCGGGTGTAGCACATGGAGTGCTGGGGGAGCGAGAGTGATGGCACGGCACGCGCTACCCTGGCACTGGTGTTTGCAGGCGGTGCCCGAGATGACGGAGCTCCTCAAGAAGAAGTGAGCAACGGTGGTGGACAGTGTACCATGGCTGGGGTATGCGGTGAGGAATAAGAGCAAATAAAGGATTGTACTGGAAAGAGGTGGGGTTGCTATGGTGGTTTATTGGTGGTGGATTGGTTTTTTTCCCCCCCCTCCTTTTTGTTGGTCCGTGGAATGGCACATGGAGCGGTGGCAACAGGTAGGAAGACACAGAAGGCAGGTAAGAGAAAGCAGGAGGCAGCATGTGTTTGTCAGTGTTTATTTGTATGCCCACTCTCCGCCCAGCTGCGTTCGGTCCCTGGATGGCATCAGGCCAGGGGGCAAGACTAGGCCCAAGCTGTCCAGCAGCTGTGTCCTGTCTGTGCTGGCCCAGGAGTGGTGGAAGGTTCCTGGCGCTATGGGCACCAGCAGGCTGGCCAGTGGCAGGACAGGTCTGTAGTCTGTTTGTTCCGCCAGGCACTGCGAGTTTATGTTGGCGTAAGACTGGCAGAAGGTCCGTTGTGCTGGAAGACATCGTAGGTCCAAGCTTGCCCAGAACCGGTGGCAGGTCTGTCATCCCCCAGTTGGCCTGGCGCAGCCCCAGGTCGCTGGCCACTGCAGGAAATGCCACAGATCACTTCCAGCACCACCGCCTTGCCTGTGGCAGCCTTGGTACACGACACAACAGGGATGGCCTCACAGCTGTCCCTATGCCTCAGGAACTCTGCCCAGCTGTGGCTCTGAGGCCCCAAGTGCCCCATACTTCTCATCGATCATTGGGGTGCCCTGTGGGCAGTCAATGAGCGGCTTGAGCTGGAAGACGTCGAGGTTCTCCTGGTTTCTGCGGTTGTAGACGCTGAGTCGGTGGGCCAGGTCAGGGCTGGTTCCCAGCGATGCCGCCGGGCTGGGCAGCTTCAGGTTGATCGGATCCAGCCCCTTCTGTGCTAGGCAAGCCTCCTCTGACAAGGAGGAGAGCAGTTCCTGCACTGTGGCACGGGCCACCCGTGGCCGGGTGCCAGGCACAAGGTCAGCGGGCGGGCTGGTGCTGGCCTCTGCAGTGTCCTCACAGGCTGTACTGCAGTCCGGGGAGGAGCCCAGCGTCTGGCTGCTCTCGCTGCAGGCCCGGGTGCCTGAGCTGACCGTGGAGCAGGAGGCACTGCCTGTTGTGATGCTGGCAGATGTCCCAGTGCTGCCGAGGTGCAGTGCCACCTCCACGGGGAAGAGATCAGAGGAGATGTTGGGGTGGTGGATGTCGATAGCGGTGGTGGTGACCACGCAGAGGGCAGCCTCGGGGACGCCGCTATCTGTGGGGAACAGGGCACAGAGAGGGCTGGTCAGAGAGAGGGAAGTGGCTGGGGAGGTCCTGCTCAGGAGGGAGCCCTTTCACTGAAACAGAGAAGAGCTGTGTACCCACAGCCCCCCCTGTTTATATACCTGTTCTAAATGTACTTAAGTATAGGTGCGTCTATAGAGGGGAGAGTGAGAGAGAAGGAGTGTAGATAAAGGGGTGTACTTGTATAAAGAATTTGTACACCTGAACCCTATCTGTAGCTTTCAAAAAACATATCCCCTTCCCCCCCCCAACATCTTTTCTTTATTCATGTATCAAAGGAGGGTGTATAGAAAGGGACATGTATGCATTCTGCTGGACTCAGCATATGTGTATATAGTCAGATGCTTGTGTAGAGAGATAGGAGTATACATGGCCTGTTGCACAAATAGACATAAAATTCCTGTACAACTTTGTATCACAAAAGCGTGTGTCAATGTCAGTACAAAATGGAAACTCTACAAAAATACATTCAACCTACAGAGCTACGTGCAGAAGAAACGGCCCCGCAGAAAGCACCAGGGAAGAACGTCCCACATGCCAGGGAGCGTCTCTGAGGAGACCGGGAAACGGTCCCGGAAACGAGCGTCGCGTGCCAGGGAGCGTCTATACAGAGACGCGTGAAAATCACCCGGACACGGGGGTCGTGTGCCAGGGAGCGGTTGTAAAGAGACGCGGGGAGATTACCAAGGAAGGAGCATCGCGCACCAGGGAGTGTCTCTTGGCCATTGGTAATGAATATGTGCTCAGTGTGTGACGTGTCTGGCCTCACACTCCCCTCTCTACATCTCTTCCTCCTGGCAGAGCAGAGCGCCGCTGCTTCTGTCCAGCGCCCAGCCTCACGTTTACCCATAAATACGTCTAGTGCTCGCTGTCTGCCTATGCACCCATCATACCTTACGCTGCTATGTCAACAGCCATGCCTCTGTGTAATACATACGGTACACAAAATTCTATGTATGTCTATATAAGCACACACGTGTTACATACATGTTCTGATATATACTATGGCAATGTATCTAGAGAGACATGTATCTATCAGTACCATACACCTCTCTATATATACATACAGCACTTCCCCCTTATATAGATTGTGTTCTTATAGATGCACTGCCAGCCTCACCTCCAATATCACGTACAGATGAACTTTGCAGAGTCCTTTAGCCATACCCATCTGTATCGTGTGTGCATTTACATGAACCCATATGTAACACATTATTTTTAGATATATACTGACAAACTTTTCAAAGTATATACACATGCACAACACAGCACATAATGATATATATTTGTAAAGCGAACTATCAGTAATCAGAAGATGCACAATCCCCCTGCATATAAATATGTATCTATTTCTCTGTGTGTATTTATGAACGTATCTACATATGATACGTTATACATATGCATGAATCCAGTACCATTTTTTTTTTTTTTAATAGCTTTCTCTGTACACGTACACACACTTCTCCACCTCCAATCTCTGGTGGGGATGAACAGAGATATATACAAATATACATGTGTGCAGACATATATGACACTATATATACGCGTGTCTCCACGGAGGCTCTCTCCCCTATGTATTCTGGGTACACAGCGTACTCCCATCTGGATTTATGTGCTCCAGTATGAGGACTGTGCCTGAGGGGCCGTGTCTTTGTTAGCAGTCCCATACAGAATATCGTGTATGTGCACAGGTACACACTGACATCTGATACATACCCTGTACACACTCCTGTAATTATCCATCTATAAGTAGAATATGCACACCCCCTCTCACATGCGTGGGTGCTATCTGTATGTGTATTTTCACTCCCTGTGTCCATACACAGGGAATGTACATATACTGGTATTTGTCTGTAATGTGTTACACCTGTACTTGAACAGACACACGGACCTATCTGTATCATATGTAACAGGTATTACGTATGTCATAATACGTGTATGGATAGACAGCTTTTTATACATCTCCCAAGATATTATGGGGATGTATGTAGCAGGGTATACAGCTGCAAGTAAAACAGTATGCCCACATACATGTGGACACACAGAGCAATACTCTATGTGAGACGTAGTTATACACACAGTTTCTCTCTCACATCTATTTTATATACATGTAGTCTTTATACAGAGATTTAGCCATATGGATATGTGGAAAAGATGTGTGGGCATATGTGAGCCCTATATGTAGCACATTATACCTAAAAAAACCCCCCCCCCAGCCTTTAAATGGTACACGACCCCCCCCCCCATACAGCCTTTAAATGGTACACGCACCTCTATAGCTCTTCAAGTATATGATACAGATAAATATGGAAGGATACTTTGCTACATATAACAACAGCATATACCTGTATATGAACAGGAACACATAGGTATTACACATAATACAAAGGTATACAGACATGGTCCCTCTCTCACACGCTGCTCCCCTCCCCTCTTTTATACACATATACTCTTTCTTTATACATAGATTTATCCATATAGATAGGGGCAATATATGTGTGTGTACACATGAGCCACATGTATAGTCCATTTTACCTAGACATATACAGACAGCCATTTGACAGGGAGAGACCCCCCCCCATGTCACAAATATGTGAAATATAGTCTCTAGGTATATTAACTATAAACACCTACCCCCTTTAAATGTACTTAGGTATGTATATACACACACAAATGTAACTTTTTATATTTCTATCATCTCCCCCGTATACATATATGGGTATAGATATATAATACATTATTACCCACATACACACAAATACATTCAAATATTTGGGGCACCAGAGCAGAAGAAAGCCACTGAGGGGCTGGAGCATGCCCAGAGAAGGGCAGAGAAGCTGGTGAGGTCTCTGGGGAACATGTCCAATGAGGAGCAGCTGAGGGAACTGGGACTGGTTAGTCTGGAGAAGAGGAGGCTTGGGGGAGACCTTATTGCTCTCTACAACTTCCTGAAAGGAGGCTGGACGGAAGCGTGTGTTAGTCTCTTCTCCCAAGTAACCAGCAATAGGACAAGAAGAAATGGGCTTTGGTTGTGCCAGGGGAGATCTCAACTGGCTGTTAGGAAGAATCTCCTTCCTGACAGTGTGGTCTGCCCAGGGAGGTAGTGAGAGTCACCATCCCTGGAGGGGTTAATAGAAAGTGCAGACATGGCACTTTCATGACACAGTTTAGTGCTCAGGGTAGTGTTGGGTTGCTGGTTGGACTTGATGACCTTGAAGGTCTTTTCCAATCATCTCAATGATTCCATGATGCTATATTTTATATACATATATCTCTATACACATAATTGCGCACAAACAGCGTTACAGCTCTTCACATACAGAGAAACATGTAGACATACTTTCATATGCACTTACACATACACATAGTACTGTAATAGATACATATCATTGCATCTGTATATCTACATACATGGGATCTATGTGGGGATGTACACAAGACATAATACCTACCTAGATACACACATACGCACACACCTTCCTATTTTATATAACACAGAATACATACAAAATAGTTTTGTATACCTGAGCAAGGCATTTGACCCAGTCCCCTGTAACATCCTCCTGAGCAAGCTCAGGAAATATGAGCTAGAGGAACAGGCAGTGAGATGGGTTGAGAATTGGCAACACAATAGAGCCCAAAGAGTGGTGATCAATGGTGCCAAGTCCACCTGGAGACCTGTAACTACTGGAGTGAGTCCCCCAGGGATCAGTGTTGGGTCCAGTCCTGTTCAACATCTTCATTAACGACTTTGATGGTACAGGGTGTCTTCTCAGCAAGTTTGCTGATGACACGAAGCTGGGAGGTTTGGCTGACACACCTGAAGGCTGTGCGGCCATTCAGCGAGATTTGGACAGGCTGGAGAGCTGGGCCAAGAGGAACCTAATGAGCTTCAACAAGAATAAGTGCAGAGTCCTGCACCTGGGCAGGAGTGATAAAATGCATCAGTACAGGTTAGGAGGTGATCTGCTAGAGAGCAGCTCTGTGGAGAGGGACTTCAGAGTCCTGGGGGACAATAAGTTGTCCACGGGACAGCAGTGTGCCCTTGTGGCCAGGAAGGCCAAAGGGATCCTGGGGTGCATTAAGAAAAGTGTGTCCAGCAGAACAAGGGAGGTCCTGCTACCCCTCTGCTCTGCCCTGGTGAGACCTCAGCTGGAGTATTGTGTCCAGTTCTGGGATCCCCATTTCAACAGGGACAGAGATCTACTCAAGAGAGTCCAGTGAAGGGCTATGAGGATGACTGGGGGACTGGAACGCCTGCCATGTGAGGAGAGGCTGAGAGACCTGGGGCTTTTTAGTCTGAAGAAGACTTAGGGGGGATCTAATTAATGCATATAAATATACGAGGGCTGGGTGTCAAGAAGAAAGCAGCAACTTGTTTTCACTTGTGCCCTGTGTCAGGACGAGGGGCAATGGACACAAGCTGGAGCACAAAAAGTTCCACCTCAACATGAGGAAGAACTTCTTTCCTGTAAGGGTTTCAGAGCATGGGACCAGGCTCCCCAGGGAGGTTGTGGAGTCTCCTTCCCTGGAGACTTTTAAGACCCGTCTGGATGTGTTCCTGTGTGTCCTGCTCTAGACTGGATGGTCCTGCTCTGGCAGGGGGGTTGGACTCGATGATCTCCAGAGGTCCCTTCCAACCCCTAACATTCTTTGATTCTGTATATACACAGGTGCTGTCACACACACGTATTTATATACATGTAAAACCAGAAGGTATCTTTAATAAATGTATATGTAGTGCCCCAGGTGTTATCAATGTAGGGATCTGCAGGGATATACACATACATACACATACATTCACAGCCAGACGTGCCCACACACTTTCATTCTTATGTTACGTATACCTCTCTATATGTATATATCTCCATGTGCATATGTATATATGGGGATATCTAACATGTCACACATATGCCTAAGTGCGCTTTTTATGTCTACAGATATCTTCAGAGACTATCTCTCCCTTCTCTC